GCTATTTTTTGGTTGCAGCCGTCATTGTTGTTTGGCGGGTCCGGGCTGGGGATTCGAACCCGCCACCTTAGGTGTACGTGGCTGGCGCCTTAGCCGATTGAGCTATAGGCGCTGAGCCTCCTCCTAAAGTTTTAAGGAGGACTCTGACTAGCAGACAGAACATCATTAAAGTATCTCCAGGTAGATAATCCTGGGACTGAGCAGAAGCCACCATCTGGTGAGACCGAGAGGGTGGTTACTTATTACATAGGCTGATTTGAATCTCTTTCCTTAAGACATTGTGTGAGTCCAGTCAAATCCAAGACTGGAACATAAGTGGATTAGAGAGGACTCTGTACAGGTGGAAGCTTATAGTCCTATTTTCCTTCTGCAGTTCTTGTACTAGCCATAAGTGGATAAACTGCCAAGCACATTTCCAGCTCCAGTTTCCATAATGCAATGGTTCTCACTTGGGCCTATGTTAAAATCCTACGAGAAGTCTTAAAAGTGGAAATGCTGGCTTGGCACCTTTAGCTCAGTGGTTAGGGCACCAGCCACAGACTGAAGCTGGCAGGTTTGGACCCTGGCCCGGGCCTGTCAAACAACAATGACAACTACAACAAAAAAGTAGCTGGGCGTTGTGATGGGTACCTGTAGTCCCAGCTACTTGGGAGGCTGAGGCGAGATAATCCCTTACGCTCAAGAGTTTGAGGTTGCTATGAGCTGTGATGCCACAACACTCTTCCCATCGGTGACATAGTGAGACTGTGTCTCAAAAAAAAAAAAAGTGGAAATGCTGGGTGGAGTGTGGTGGCTCAGGCCTATAATCCTAGCACTCTGGGAGGCTGAGGCAGGTGGATTGCCTGAGCTTACAGGTGCAAGACCAGCCTGAGCCAGAGCGAGACCCTGTCTCTAAAAATAGCTGGGCGTTGTGGGCACCTGTAGTCTCAGCTACTCAAGAGGCTAAGGCAAGAGAATCGCTTAAGCCCAAAAGTTTGCAGTTGCTGTGAGTTATGATGCCACAGCACTCTACCAAGGGTGACAAAGTGAAACTCTGTCTCAACAACAACGGTAAAAGAACAGATAGAAGTTCTAAGAATAGTTGCATTGGACACAGGTAGTGGGAGGGGTGGGAAGGCATCAGAGCCAAACCATATTACTGAGCCGCTACTAGAAAATGAGGTGAAATGGAGCATATCTGAATAGCGTATGTTTCTTTCTGAGGGTGGAAACAAGGAACGAGGTAATATATTCATTGCTTTAAAGGAGAAATTTGTGCCTCTAAAGAGACTAGCTGCATGTGGAGCCTGGAATAGCCAACGTAACTGGTGTTGATCTCAGAGGATGTTTTGTGGAAACTTTTTTGGATTGGTGTGAATGCAAGATTGAACATACAATTAATTTTAGATTATTTCTAAAAATCATAATGTGCAGTGGAATAAAAGTTGAATAATTGGTATGGTAGCACGCACTTGTGGCCCCAGCTACTTGGGAGGATGAGGCAAAAGGATCACTTTAACCCAGGAGTTTGAGGTTTCTGTGAGCTATGATGCCATAGCCAAAGAAACCAAAAGAAGCTGCATAATTATATCAAATGGCTATTGAAGTTTTATTTGGCTCACTATACTAGTGATTACACAGGATGTGTATATGTTAAGTATAGTTTGTTCTGCCTGGCAAAACACAACTTAATTAAATGAAGGTGATTTTGACTTTCTGAGAAGCTTAATATTTCATTACAGAATGGTTGGTAAACACTGTTAGTTCACTTGGATATTGTTTCAAAAAGGACTGACGCTATAGTTCAGAGCATGGTCAGCAGAGTTTTCCATAAAGGGCCAGAAAGGAAATATTTTAGGCCTGTAGGCTATATAGTCTCTATTGCTGATACTGTGTGAAAGCAGCCACAAGCAAGAGGACAGTAGGTTCCCATGAAAATTTATTTACCCAAACAACAGGCTATAATTGGCCAACCCTTGGTTTACAGTATAGCTTACCGTCTCTTGCCATTAGGTAAGTTGCCCAGCTTCTGACCTAGTTTCCAGTAATGCTGGCAGCGTTTTGTAATGTTTTTAAAGGAGATTGGAAATAATGCCATGAGATGTTGGAGTAAGCAAGAACTCTCTTTTACCATTATCAACTCTGCTTTTCTCATTTAAGGATTAGATATGTTGGATTTTTTTTTTTTTGAAGCAGTCTCACTTTGTTGCCCTTGGTAGAGTGCCATTGTATCACAGCTCACAGCAACTCTTGGGCTTACGCAATAGTCTTGCCTCAGCTTCCCAAGTAGCTGGGAGGCACCTGCCACAACACCCAGCTACTTTTTTGTTGCAGTTGTCATTGTTGTTTAGCAGGCCCAGGCTGAGTTCGAATCCACCAGCCTAGGTCTATGTGGCTAGCGCCCTATCCACAGAGCTATGGGTGCTACCAATATGTTGAATTTTTTTAGGCATTATTTCATCGGCCAAGTGAATAATGATACATATGTTTAGTTTTAAGTGATAGATGCATTTTTTGAGCATCTGCTTCTGTGTTAGCAGTGTACACTAGGTGCTTGATACCTCTTACCAGCATTGTGCTAGGAATTATTATCCTTATTTTACAGCTTAGAAAACCCAATCCTGGAGATGAAGCAGCAGATGCTGCACAAGTAGTTGAAATATCTGTATTCTGTTAGCAAGCTCTTTTTGAAACACTAGGCATGGGACATATACTCAGATACAACAAATCTTCCATTTAAAATTGGAATTTCAAAATTTTTTTGTGGCTCGGCACCTGCAGCTCAAGCAGCACCAGGGCACCATCCACATACATGGAGCTGGTGAGTTCGAATCCAGCCCAGGCCTGCTAAACAACAATGAAAACTATAACCAAAACATAGCCAGGCATTATTGTAGGTGCCTGTAGTCCTAGCTGCTTGGGAGGTTGAGGCAAGAGGATCACTTATGCCCAAGAGGTTGAGGTTGCTGTGAGCTGTGACGCGATGGCACTCCACCCAGGGCGACAGCTTGAGAGTCTGTCTCAAAAAAAAAAAAAACAAAACTCTGTTTTATTTATTTATTTATTTTAAGAGACAAGGTCTCACTTTATCGTTCTCAGTAGAGTGCTTTGGCGTCACACAGCTCACAGCAACCTCCAACTCCTGGGCTTAGGCAATTCTCTTGCCTCAGCCTCCCAAGTAGCTGGGACTATAGGCGCCCGCCGCAAGGCCCAGCTATTTTTTTTTTTCATTGTAGTTTGGCCAGTGCCGAGTTTGAACCCACCACCCTTGGTAAATGGGGCCAGCACCCTACCCACTGAGCCATAGGCACCACCCGACTCTTGTTTTTTTGAACAAAAATGTTTTGTTTTTTGAGACAAAATCTTGATATGTTGCCCTCAGTAGAGTGCCCTGGCATCACAACTCACAGCAACCTCAAACTCTTGAGGTTAAGCAAATCTCTAGCCTCAGCTTCCCAAGTAGCTGGGACTACAGGTACCCACCACAATACCTGTCAATATTTTTGTTGTAATCGTCATTGTTCTTTAGCAGGCCCGGGCTGGGTTAGAGTCCAGCCTGCCTCTGCGTGTGTGGCTGGTGCCCTAACCACTGAGCTATGGTCACCGAGCTGCATTTGCAAAATTTTAATATTCTACAGGGTAGAAAAGGGTATGCCTTTTGCACTCAGGATTATTTTCCTATTTCTGATCTTATGAAGGAAGCACAATTGTTTTATATTAGGTAGTTTTTATGCCTTTAGTTAGATGACTCAAGTTGCTATAGTTGGGGTAAAACATAGGTACAAATCTGTTTATCTGTTTTTACTATTATGACTTTTTTTTTTTTTTTTTTGAGTCAGAGTCTTAACTCTGTTATCCTGGGTAGAGTGCTGTGGTATCATAGCTCACAGCAACCTCAGACTCTTGAGTGATCCTCCTGATTCAGCCTTCCGAGTAGCTGGGACTACAGGCACCTGCCATGATGCCCAGGAGTTTTGGGAGTCTCACTCTTGCTTAGAGTGGTCTCAAACCCCTGAGCTCAAGTAATCCACCTGCTTCAGCCTCCCAGAGTGCTAGGATTACAGACGTGAACCACTGCACCCACCAGTATTGTGACTTCTGAACTGATTTCTCTTTATGGAAATAATGTTTTCAATGTCCTTGATCTTGGTTTCTTACAGGCAGCAGAACATTGAGGAAAACATGACTATAGCTATGGAAGAGGCTCCGGAAAGTTTTGGCCAAGTGGTCATGCTTTACATTAACTGCAAAGTGAATGGACATCCTGTTAAAGCCTTTGTGGACTCAGGTGATGTCTCCATCTTTTGTGTCTCAGTCTTCATTCTGACATCCCTGCCTGATATGGGAGAATGAGAGACTTGAATGTCTATTCAGATGGCTGTGCTCCTTTGGACTGCTAACTAAGAAGCCTAGGAGTTAGTGTTAGTCACTTGCCAATCCTCATAGTGGTAATAGGTTTATTTCTTTAATCATTTTTTTAACCAGATTAGCATTTTGCAGTGTCTCTCTTGTCTTCCTGGCTCCTTTTGTTTAGTATTCTGATACTTAGGTACTTCTGGTCAAAAATTGGGATCAAGGTGGCATCCGTGCTCAGTGGGTAGGGTGCCAGCCACATTAACTGAGGATGGTGGGTTCAGACCCAGCCCAAGCCAGCTAAAACAACAAGAACAGCTGCAACAAAAAAAATTGTCAGGTGTTGTGGTGGGCACCTGCAGCCCCAGCTACTTGAGAGGCTGAGGCAAAAGAATCACTTAAGCCCAAGAGTTTGAGGTAGCTGTGAGCTGTGATGCCACAGCTCTCTACCCAGGGTGACAGCTTGAGACTCTGTCTCAAAGAAAAAGAAAAGAAAAAAAGAAACTCGGATTAAGTAAGTTTGAAGAAGAGTAGAGTATGAGGTCAAACATTCCCGTGTGACCTGTGGGCCAGCACTTTGCCAGGATCTCTGAGGACTGTAAGACTATATGGAGCATGTTTCTTGCCTTTAAATAATTCAGTAATCAGATATAGAGACAGGGAGTTTCCCACTTGAGGATTCAGGTAATCCTTGGACTGTTTGGCACCTTTTCTCTCAGTAACAACTCTTCACTTTTTAGTAAGACCACATTATACAGCACTTTCTGGGTATGTGGATGAGTAGTCTTATGTGTATTATGGGGCAGAACATGAGGAGTTCATCCCTAATTTGGGGGGAAGAATGCAGAATTTATATATACAGTAGAACCTCTGTAAGTTGACCACCCAAGTCACTGTAACCAGCTGATTACCATACCGAGGTGATCAACATAAGGAACTAGGCGTGGTGTACTGATATGATGCATATGTGGTTGATGCATTTCTGATCTGTGAAAATGAGGTCAGCTTAAGGAGGAGGTCAACTATGGAGGTTCTACTGTACATATGTTTTTTATTTTTAGTTTTTGAGACATAGTCTCACTGTTTTCCCCAGCTAGACTAGGGTACAGCAGCAGCATCATAGCTCACTTCAACCTCAAACTCTTGGACTCAAGTGATCCTTCTGACTCAGTCTCCCAAGTAGAGAGTAGCTGGGACTATAGGCATGTGCACCATGCCTGACCTTTTTTTTAAATGTAGAGACAGGGTCTTATTATTGCATAGGCGGGTCTTGAATGTCTGGCCTTAAGCAGTCTTCCTACCTTGTGAGCATGAGCCACTACGCCTGTTTAAGAATATATATTTTTAAACTAGTAAACTGTAGTGTTTCAGATAAAAACAACTTGATAAAATTTTTAGAGATATAAACTGTTGAGTGTAAAGTAGTGCTTAATTTAGCTTTACCATCTCCAGACACAGTGGTCATTATTTGAACTTTAAGGAGGCCTTTTCCAGGTAGTTTCACATTTACTGGCAAAGTTTTAAAATACCATTTATTACATTGCAACAAACTATTGTTTCCCTCAATGTCAAGTTTCTACAGTGTGTTTCAGATTTCAATGTGGAACTGAAACTTGAATAAGACAGCAGGACACTTGCTAGGTAGGAATGATTTTACAGAGACATATGCCTTGGCATATATTTACTTTCTGCCTTGTTACTAGTGCTATATTTTTAGTCTTGGCCACAAATATGGATTTTGTTTTTATTATGTGATGTTTCTCTCACCCCCCCAGGTGCCCAGATGACTATTATGAGCCAAGCTTGTGCAGAAAGGTGTAATATCATGAGACTGGTGGACCGTCGATGGGCAGGGATCGCCAAAGGAGTCGGCACCCAGAAGATTATCGGAAGGGTACATCTAGGTGAGTGAAAGGCAGTGAGAGTTGCTGTCTTTTTGTAAGGTATTTGTAGGGTAGTGGATTTTTAAGGTTTGGGTTTTTTTGTTTGATTGTTTGTTTTTAATTTCTTTTGTGTGGCTACATCTGAACCAGTAAGCCAAATTCCTAGAAATTTAAAATCCTGTGTTATATCAAATTTACATACATGATCATGCTTCTGCTATTTACAAAAATCTAGCCTACACCCTTCTCATTTCTGTTCCTCAAAGATAATCCCTTTCGGTTTTGTTGGCTGATGTCTTTTGGTACTCACCTGTATTTTTAAATGACATGTTGATATTTCTGTTCATTGTTCTGACTATGTAAATGATTTGAGAAGTCAGTCATCTCATTGAATATGATTGCTTTTCTTTTGTGGCTAGTATTCTTTTCTCCTCCAGTGAGTGACTATCTTTGTCCGTGGTCTGTTATGTGCTTTCCTCATTATGTCAGTCTCCTTTACAGAGGTGCAGGGGCATCAGGTACTGGGTACGTCGCATTCTTCTCAAGCCCAGACTGCTGGTTTTAGGCTTCACAGCTTTTGTTCTGGAAACTTCCTTGAATCTTGAGGAAGGAATCCTGAAGATTCCTTTCTCTCCTCTCTTATGTTGGATTACCTGGATCCCTGTCTTCCCCTTTATTGTTGCTCCATGATTGATTGGTTGGCGTGTGTCTCTCTGAGAAGAGGTGTGTGGGGGTAAGTGGAGACCCTGAGCACCAGAACATGTCTTTTCCCCACTCTCTACCAGTCTGACTAGGTGGGAAATACTTTTCCTTCATGGTTTTGAGGCATTTCTCTTACTCCTTTTAATGTAAGTGTCCCTAGAGAGAAGCTGATTCTTGATGCTTTATGGGAAAGGTTTCTTTTTCTTTGAAGCTTATAGATCTTCTCTTTGACTTCTGTGTTTAGAAATTTCAGAGAGGTACTTGAGTGTAGACCTTTTTTCATCTACTATACTGCATACTTGAAAACCTTTTCAGTCTAGAAACACCCGTCCTTCAGTCCTGGAGACTTCCCCTGAATTACTCTGACGCTGATTTTTTCCAGTCTGGAGTGTCTTGTTCTCAGATAGGATAATCTTCTATCCTGGACTTGCCCTTGGGTTTTCCTCTCTTTTTCTTTCTTTCATCTCTCATTGGGTTTGGGGTTTTTTGTTGTTGGTTTTTTTGTGTGTGGGGAGGAGGGTTTCAACTCTGTCTCCCAACCTTTCTGGTAGCTTTGTGGTTTTATTTTTTGTTTTAGATAGATTTTATATTCATGGCATCTGATCATATTAAAGAGTGGGACACCACCAAAAGGCAGTTTGGAAGATGACCTGGGTGGGCTGCCATGGCACTTGTGGTCTTCCCTATAGGGTGGTCTGGAAGTTGGCAGACAGGAAAGGGCTGGCGTCTGAGTAGACTTTCACTGATCCATTCCGTGGTTTTTAGTCACATGCTTGTTGTTTGTCCCTGTCTTCCTCCGTGCCCGCCTTGTTAAGAGTGCCTCTGTTTCACCCTCTCCAGAAAATAAACCTCTAGTCTGCCTCTGGGGTTGAAGGGTCACCTGGCTGAGCAGAGTGCAGGAGGGGACGCCCCAAGTTCTAACTGTGCCTATGCAGACTTCCAACCAACCTTCCTGCTTTGGGCCCACCTCTACTCCTATTTGCAGAGGTACTTGTGATCAATTCCTAAGCCTCTTAGGAGTTCTCGGATGTAAATTGGGTTGCTCTCAGTTTTCCTCATTGTCATCTGCTTTTTGGTTCCAACATTTTGTTTCTCTTATCTCTTCCATTGTATTTGGCTTTAGGAATTTGTGCCTCACAAGAAAACCCAAAAAACCATTTTTGTAATTTTTTTAGGAGCAAACACAGATAAATGTGTGTGTTTAGTCGTTTCATCTCTAATCAGAATTATTTTATTTTTCTTTTCGCTATCCATTTACTAGATGCTCATTGTAGAGAACTTTGAAAGCATGGAAGTGTGAGAAGAAACCAAAAAAAAAAAAAATAAATAAATCTCTTAAATCCCTTTAGTAGGAATCAACAGTGTCATTTGGGTATATCTCCTTTGGTCTTTTTTTGGCTTTTTTTTTTTTTCTTGTAAAAGGTTCATGTAATGTATAAAATTTTATACTCTGCTCTAAGAAAAAGTAAAATAACATTTTCCCAAAGTCACTATGAATTTCATTGGTATTATTTATATAAAGGTGTACAGCATTCTTTTATATGGATCTAATGATCACCTTTCGGGTTACGTTCTTTTCATATTTTGTCATTATTACATGGCAGGGTGGTTTTATGCACAGTTTGATTTTTTTTCTCAGTCAAGGTTCCCATAAGCCAAACTACTGAATCAAAAGTTAAGTGATTACTTTTTTTTTTTTTTTGAGACAGAGTCTCACTGTATTGCCCTGGGTAGAGTGTTGTGGCATCACAGCTCACAGCAACCTCTAACTCTTGGGCTTAAGCGATTCTCTTGCCCCAGCCTCCTAAGTAGCTGGGACTACAGGCACCCATACAACACATGGCTATTTTTTGGTTGCAATTGTCATTGTTGTTTAGCAGGCCTGTGCTGGGCTTGAACTTGCTAGCCTCAGTGTATGTGGCCAGCACCCTACTCACTGAGCTACAGGTACTGATCCTTTTTTTTTTTTTTTTTTGGAGACAGTCTCTCTATGTAGCCCTTGGTAGAATGCCATGGCATCACAGCTGACAGCAACCTCAAACTCTTGGGGCATAAGTGGTTCCGTTGCCTCAGCCTACAGAGTAGCTGGGCCTATAGGTGCCCACCACAATGCCCGGATATTTTTTTTGTTGTTGTATGTAGTTTTTGTTTGACAGACCTGGGGCTGAGTTCAAACCCGCCAGCCCTGGTGTATGTGGCTGGCACCCTAGCTGCTGAGCTACAGGAGATGAGCCAAGTGAACACTTTTAATATTTTTATATCAAGATTCTTAACATATTGCTAACAAGTACGGTATGGTTTATCCAGCACTGAATGAACACTCATCTTAATATCTAGTACTATTAAGTAATACTAGTTCTCCCTTTTAAATTTACAAATAAAAAAGTGCTTTCTTAGTATTGTAAGTTACTTTTCCTTCATTGCAAATGATAGTTTTTCTACTCACTTGCCCTGTCTTTCTTTGGAAACATATTTGTCTGTTTATTGGGATCTTTGTTTCCTTTTTAATTTAACTAGTATAAAGGTAGTTAAATACCTTATTTTTGTACTTTCCTAAGAGTAGTAGGACTGAGACTTGGAGGAATAGCGCAAACTGGTTGGTTCAGAGGTTGAGTTCTCAGGGTTTTTTGTGGTTTTAAGTGAGAAGATAATAGAAGGAGACAAAATAAGTACCAGTTCCTTGTGTCCTTCCTTGTAGATGGACAAGATGTACCATTTTACAACTTTGGCTGTGCTAGGCATGAAGAATCCCTTATAACAATAAGGGAAATCTAAATGAAAGGAGAGCTATACCGTGGATTAGAAGACGCAGTATGTTGAAGGTGGTGATTCTCCCCCATTCTTCCATAGAGTCATTGTAATAACATTAAAATCCCAGTAGATTTTTTTTGTGCAAACATAAAATTTGGCATGGGTCCTTTGTCATAAGAGTAGGCGAGATACTCCAGCATAGCCTCCCCTTCTAGATATCAAGACCAAAGGACTATCTAGAAGATACTAATAGAATCAAACCCATGCTTATGTGAACCCTGATAAATGAGAAAGTCTTACAGAGCAGTGAGAAAACTTCAAGAAATGTGACTAGGACAACTAGGGTATCCATGTGAAGAAATGAATTGGGAACTAAGCCCTGCCTCACACTACACACAAAAGCCAAATCACGGCAGACTAAAGATGTAGATGTGAAAAGCAAAGTCAAAGGTTTTAGAAGAAGCAGCAGAAGAATATCTTGCGGAGGGAAGGAATTCTTTAAAAGATAGGGAGGAAATGATTTGATATGTTTGGCCACGTTAAGATCAAGAACTTTTGCAACAGGCCACACTCCATGACTCACTCCTGTAGTCCAGCACTTTAGGAGGCTGAGGCTGGAGGATCACTTTGAGATCAGGAGGTCAAGACTGGCAACACAGCGAGACCCTGTCTGTACAAAAAATAAGAAAAAATTACCCAGGCATTGCTGGTGTGTGCCACAGTCCTGGCTACTTAGGAGGGTAAGGTGGGAGGATACCTTGAGCCCAGGAGTTTGGGGCTACAGTGAACTATGATGATGCCTCTGCACCTGGTGCAGCAGCAGGACCCCAAATTTTTTCTTTACACCAAAAAGAACTTTCCATCAAAAAACATCATAGGCTTGGCACCTGTAGCTCAAGTGGCTAAGGCGCTAGCCACATACACCAGAGCTGGCAGGTTCAAATCCTGGCAAACAGCAGTGACAGCTACAACCAAAAAATGGCCAGGTGTTGTGGCAGGTGCCTATAGTCCCAGCTACTTAGGAGGCTGAGGCAAGAGAATCACTTGAGCCCAGAAGTTTGAGGTGGCTGTGAGCTGTGATACCATGACACTCTACCCACGGTGACAGCTTGAGGCTCTGTCTCAAAAAAAAAAAATCATAAAGTGAATAAACACAAACTGGGAAAGAACTTCAGGGACATAAATAACTAGTAAAGCAGCGGTTTTTAACCTATGGGTCACGTGACCCACAGGAACTGTATTAAAGGGCCATGGCATTAGTAAGGTTGGGAACCACTGTAGTAAAGGATTTAAATGCAGAATCTATACACATATGTACCTATTTTCCAACTCAGTAAGATGGACAATAGAAAGATTATCTATAGAGGCTGGGCGCCTGGCTCAGTGGTTAGAGTACTGGCCCCGTACACCGGATGTGGTGGCCAGCTAAACCAAAAAAAAAAAGAAAGAAAGATTTACAGAAACACTTGAACAAGCACTTGAGGAAATCCAGATGGTTCATTAAATACATGAAAGCATGGTTAACCTCATCTATCAGTGATACACAAAATTACTTGCCCAGTTAGCAAAGATTTAAAATCTAATATTAAACCTTCATTGACTTTTTATTGATTGATTGATTCCTCCCCCCCACCGAAGTTTTCCTTTTTAGGCTGGGGCTGGATTTGAACACACCACCTCCCATATATGGGGCTGGCGCTTGAGCCATAGGCACTATCCCTATTTATTTATTTATTTATGTATTTTTGAGGCAGAGCCTCAAGCTGTCCCCCTGGGTAGAGTGCCATGGCTTCACTGCTCACAGCAGCCTCTAACTCCTGGGCTCAAGCGAGTCTTCTGCCTCAGCCTCCCAAGTAGCTGGGACCACAGGCGCCTGCCACAACGCCCGACTATTTTTTGGTTGCAGCCATCATTGTTGTTTGGCGGGCCCCGGCTGGATTCGAACCTGCCACCTTAGGTATATGTGGCTGACGCCTTAGCCGCTTGAGCCACAGGCGCCAAGCCTACTTATTTTTTAGATAGAATCTCAAGCTGTCATCCTGGGTAGAGTGCTATGGCATCATAGCTCACAGCAACCTCAAACTCTTGGGCTCAAGAGATCCTTTTGCCTCAGTTTTTCTATTTTTAGTAGAGATGAGGTCTCAGCCTTTGCTCAGGCTGATCTTGAACTCATGAGCTCAAGCTATCCACCCACCTCAGCCTCCCAGACTGCTGGGATTACAGGCATGACCTACCACGCCTGGCTCTTCATTGACTTTGGTTTTAATTACTATTATTTTTTAATATATATATAGAGAAATCTCACTTTATCATCCTCGGTAGAGTGTTGTGGCATGACAGCTCACAGCAACCTCCAACTCCTGGGCTCGGGCAATTCTCTTGCCTCAGCCTCCAGAGTAGCTGGGACTACAGGCGCCTGCCAGAAGGCCTGGGTATTTTTTTTGCTGCAATTTGACCAGGGCCAGGTTTGAACCCACTACCTTCAGTATATGGGGCCGGTGCCCTACCCACTGAGCCACAGGTGCTGCCCTCTTCATTGACTGTTAAACTGACCATTGGTCTTACTAGATGTTCACACTTACACCATCTGTTTGCATGCTTTGCCTTGGCTTTGATTGATTGCTGGAAGCAAAGTACTGAATGATAGGTACATTTCCAAAGCCTGTCTGAGGCTTTTGAAATACACATAGGTAACCTTTTCTCTTCTTTGTGTGCTTTAGCTCAGGTTCAGATTGAAGGAGATTTCTTAGCATGTTCCTTCTCTATACTTGAGGAACAGCCAATGGACATGCTTTTGGGATTGGACATGCTTAAACGGCATCAGGTAATTAAGAGATTCATTTGCTTTTGAATCTACTTTTTTTTTTTTTTTTGGAGCTGCTTTTTATAATCTATTATGATGTGATTTCTACTGGTTATATATACTGAGAAACCAAGAAGCATGACTTTTTAAACCTGGAAATGGCTTTCATTGATTATATTGTAGTGAAATGATTAAAATCATGTTATAATTAAAGTAGAAGTACATAGAGGCTCAGCACCTGTGGCTCAAGCTACTAAGGCGCCAGCCACATACACCTGAGCTGGCGGGTTCAAATCCAGCTCGGGCCCGCCAAACAATGACAGAGCCTGTGGCTCAGTGAGTAGGGTGCTGACCCCTATAATGAGGGTGGTGGGTTCAAGCCCAGCCCCAGCCAAAGCACAACAAAAAAATAGCC